TTGTTGTTGTTGTTGTTGTTGTTGTTGTTGTTGTTGTTGTTGTTGTTTTACGTTGTTGATTTGTATAGTTTTGTTTTGAGTTGGTGGTGGGATTTTACATGCCAGTGTCAAAGTTGTTCTGTGTCCAACACCTCCTTGCAACATCTTGCAACTGTTGTTTTGGTGGATTTTGGCGTTGCCACCAAATTCCAATGGGGTTGTGCTTTTTGTTCTTTCAATTTCCCAACACAAAGTGAGTGGTGAATCAGCGGTTGGCTCTCTGTCTCCTGCACGAAGCACCCCTTTGTGAACCGCTTTTTGTTCTAGATTTGCATGCCCCTTCAAGGTAGGAGCAGCCTCTGAAACCTGAACTCATCTAGACTCCTGTTGATTGCAAAAGTATGTATGAATGGGTCTTACCATGTTTCACACTCCAATTGGTCGGGTTATTCATCAACTGCCCGCAGTAGGGACTTTTTCTTGTGGTTTTGGACTCTTGACTCACGTCGAGCGATCGCGACGCTGTGAGGTGACCGATGAGAATCAAGACGTCCAAATTCATGTGACATTGCCCAGTGGCAGATCGAGTACTCTATCAGTGTCCTTGAATGAGCTTTTTGCAGTGCAGAAGCTGCAGGCGGCGGCGAAAGAATCGTTTGGAATACCTTACTTGCCCAGGATCTTCTTCCAGGGAAGAATGCTAGAGGCTCAGATTGCAGACCATCAAGTGTTTTTTGTTGGCAAACATTTTGGGTGGTCACACAGACCAACTTGCTTCTATACATGAACAGATGTGAGAATATTATGATAGAACTGAATATGAAGATGCCCTTGCCATTTTAGGGGGTCTCCCTATTCTCATACACACCCAGGGTTGAGTACCGGCTACGTGTGCTGCTTCCAAGAGCAGCTGAGGATGCCAGAGAGTCTCTTCAAGACTCGGGACTTGCTGATGGGGATACTGTCACGGCGGTTGTGCAAGCGGAGAAGCATATGGCCACGACGGAGGCGGCATTTGCTGCCTGGCGCACTGGTGGCAATCAAGTAGTTACGTGGGGTTTGCAAGCGTTTGGAGGAGACAGCAGCAGTGTGCAAGATCGGTTGAAGAGCCTTGCCTGAAAAATGATGGCAGCATTCTTGGCTGTTCTCCCTTTCCTCTTCCTAAGAGTTTGAAGACCAGGCTGGAATGTTGGAATAAATGAAGTATGAAGAATCTCACTGCCAAGGGGATGTGCCCAAACCGATCTCAGCCACATGTCGGGATCCTGTCTCCGATCGTCTCCTCTTCAAGGGGGCCAGGACACCACTGACGTGCAGCTGACGGATTGTCTCCATGCCCCACACTCACTCCAATGGACTCTGGAAGGATTTACCATATATGGACCTCCTGAAATCACATGGGCCTCCTGAAAGCAACTGCCCTGACATGTGGGCATCTGCGACCCACGTGCACGGATGTGCACGGTCGTTTCCATGTGTAGGAGACGCACCTAGGAGCATCCAAGAGATCCAGGCCACGCGCCGGGCCTTCGCGGCGCGCCTCGCGCGCGGCGCGCCTCGCGAAGTGGTGACCTGGGGCGATCCGGCGCATGGAGGCGACGTCAGCGCAGAGGTGCAGAGGCGACTGAAAGACGTGCCACTTGGGCGTGTGATGTTGGGGCGGATCGGCGAAGAACACCGCTGAACAAAAAGGAGGACGGCGGACCTGCCTGAACCCGCCTTTTGGTGGTGCGAAGGGGGGTGTGAAGTGGAACACCCAAAGTGTTTGAGTGGACCATGAGCACAAGAAGCTATCTATCTTCCTGAAATCTCACCATCCACGAAAGCCGAAAACCAGTTCTTGGACGGATCTAGGAGCTTTGCTCAGCGTCCAGAAGAAGCTGTGAGCCCCACACCCTGGTACATTGACCTCCCTGTGTTTCATTTCGGTGGTAAACCGGTAGGTGTCCTGGTTGATGAATGAGAGAAGGTTGCTCGACAGTTCCCATCATTCTGCTGAGCAAACCGGTGAAAGGAAGATTGGTTCCGATCTGTGGTCCTAAGGATGGGTATACACCCATGGATGCCTTGGGTTTACAGAAGGATTGCTAAACCAGGAAAGATTCAACATGATTCAACATAAACAGTCTAGTCCAGTCTTGTGAGGAAGCTTAATCTGTCCGAGCCTCACAAACCAACGGTTGGCAGCATGTCTGAGGGTCCTCGGCTATAGATGTACACTCCCTGTTTCACGATCATGGAAGTGGGGTTTTCACACCACCTATTATTTGGTAGTCGGATGTCATGGTCAGACCGTTTCATCGGGGCTATGCCATCCACGCAACCTGAAGGATCTGGTTTCAGGAGGTGTTTTTTCTTGTTTCGGATGTCATGTCATAGATCTCATCCCTGCCTACAATCTGGAATGCTAGATCCCAACATCCAATAGAATTCCAAAAGACACAAAAACCACCTACATATGGCGTATTTATCTACATTGGGCTGGCTAGTCTTTAGGGTCAATGTAGATGAAGATGCCCAAACAGCTCGTGTTTTGAGACCGTCTGCTCCTACCCCCCCCGAGGCACTCCCTCCACTCCACCGACGGGGCCTTCGCAGCGCTTCTGAGTGATGGATCGGTGGTGACCTGGGGCGATCCCTGCAAAGGAGGCGCGCGATGGCGCGCTGTGCGATGGCACCAAGATGGCGGGCCATGTCCACCTGGTGAAGGTTGGCGGAATTGTAGGAAAACACCATAAAAAAGGGGAAAACATATCGACAAACAGGAGGGGTTCAATTATTATGTATATATATATATTATTGTTTTTTTTTTTAAAGTTGGAAACACAGGAAAATGGTGAAGTAGATGAGCACTGCTGCCACACTTGCGGATGTACATGACTGTTGGAATTCATTAAGTCTGGAATGGATGCTTCCCAACTGCTTTGGAAGGTTCGAAGTGCCTTGCCCCCGCTTGTAAACGTACAACCACCACCAAGTATATTATATAGCAGTCTTCTTGGCTTCTCAATGTTTATCAACAATCCGTGCAATACAACCAAACAGCTCACCCAGGAAATAACCCAGATCATCCACGTATGCAATAGTCACTTACATCATGGTCCTAAATGCTGCAATACATGGATGTAGTTGTATTCCATACATGGATCGTCAGGTGTTTCTTATGGGTAAATCTTCATTCAGGCGAATATGTTTCTTTGTTTCCGGTTCCTGAAGCACATCCATGTTGAGCAAGACAGTCCCCTTCTGTCATCCCTCAGTTTTCGGTGGCTTACAGAAGGCCGGGCTCACTCCAAACCCAACGTCGCTGTGGGACTCATCGCCTGACGGTCCGCAGGGGACAGCGGCGCGGTGGAGGATCGTTTGAAGAAGGTTTGTGCACTTGCATCCACTGGCTGGGCCTTTGCTGCCTTGTTGTCTGATGGATCTGTGCTGACTTGGGGAGATCCATACTTTGGAGGAGACTGCAGTGAGGTGCAAGAGAAGTTGAAGACGGTGCAAGAGATTCACTCTTCGAGCTATGCCTTCGCGGCCATTTTGGACGATGGAAGCCCCGGTTTGGAAAAACATTGTTAATTCTTGATATTCTGAGGGAGTGCTGGGGTCGAAGGCATGTAATTGACCGTAATGAAATATCTATGGCCTTTTGTTTTCTTCCGATCTAAGGAAGTGTGGTCACCTGGGGCAACCCCACATTCGGTGGGGATTCGAGCAAGGTCCAAGAGGAGCTGCGAGATGTGGTGCAGATTCGAGGCTCTCGCTATGCCTTCGCTGCGCTTCGCTCGGGTGGATCGGTCATCACCTGGGGAGATGAAAGGCGAGGAGGTGATAGCAGCTTGGTGCAGGAACAACTGAAGAAGGTGAAACAGAGACCTGGTGGAAGCACTTCAGTCGTTGTGCTTTGTATTATATGTATGTAATGTAGGCTCTTGGTTGATAACGTCTCCAATTGACTTGTGAAACATATTCAGATGTGTTTTTTATTTATTAGTCAAGAATCAAGAGTCTACATTACTGTATGCTTTCCCTATCGCTCTATCGTCTTGGAAGTTCTTGCCTGGTTTGACAGCCTATGAACCCCAACAAAAGCAGGACCTGCTGTCTTGGGCATGCCCCGGGCGAGGTTCCCCAGGTAGTGTTCTTTTCCCCACCAATTCGGCTAGCCTCGATGGGAGGCGTCGTTGCCTAGCCAATTCAACCAGGGTCTCAAGCTCTGGGTTGCGGCTAGGCGCCTTCATGTTTGAGTCTGACGTTAGACCGCAGGTCTAAGCCCAAGCACTAAGGCTTTGCAATATGTTGACTAAGGCTTTGAATGTCAACTAGATGTTTGCCTTAGAATGAGAATGGTTGGTGCTAGTGTTGGACTTATATCGTTTGGACTTCTCGTTTGAATATACGTGTTTTTTTCGTGGGTTCTGGGAATGAGTGTGAGCATAGTTCAGGACATACAAGTCACCACCTTGATCAAAGGTAGACGATTTGGGCATGTAATTAGCAAGGGCTGAAAACAAATCTGCTCACATACAAGAGGTGTCCAAGATAGAAGACGGTACGGACCTTCTGTTCCGGTACGATCTGAGTCACAGGTAAACATCCGACGTCGACACCTCCAACGATCTGAGTCGACGATCATTTCCGGGATATACGATAGCTTACCTCGAAAATCCGGTACCATAGCTTTAATAACCCAGACACGACCTGTTTGGGACTGCCATAGGACTGCCGATCAGGCCAGGGGTGGTGCCAGGTCAACGGGGTGGCAGTCCTATGGCAGTCCCATTAGTCGTGTCTGGGTCATGGACCATTTTCACCCGTTTGTTTGAAGTGGAACACCGACGTTTCCACCCAAACCCGACGTTTCCTCGTTCCGTCCAACGGGCCGTATACGGTCCAGGATCAGTGCGACCCACTACGCCTTCGCTGCTCTGTCTGATGGAGCTGTGGTCACCTGGGGTGGGCCTGGAGGTGCAGTGGAGAAACGGCCGCTCATGGTGTCCATGGCAAAAACGCTGAGGGGGCTGAAGACACTGCAGGTGTGTGGTATATATATATATATACTTTGTAATATATGATATAGTTGAATACCAGGATTCGTCTTCCTTGACACCTCATGACCTTTTAAATGTTTTCTTTCAGGTGAAACTTTGTCCATCTAGTTCTCGAAGACCAAGTCCAGCAAACCTCCCACATTCTTAGTTGCTTAGATCAGCTGCTTAGATCAGCTAAGCGGACAAAAGCTGCAGTGGCCAGTCCCACCTTCCGGTAGGTTAGTGGACCTTCTCCCACCTACCCATGTCACACCTATGGTGTAAACGATGTGTTTCGATTGCAAACGATTTTTGCATATGTGGCGAAGTTCATGAGGTGCCGCAAGGGTTTCTGCCCAAAAGAACCCTCAGGTGACAGCAGCAGTGTCCAAACTCAGCTGAAGAATGTGCAAGAAATCTATGCTTCTGGCTATGCATTTGCAGCCATTTTGGCAGATCGTTCGGTTGTGGCTTGGGGTCATTTGGATTCATTCATGTGCAAATATTGTGATTCTTTTGGATGACACAGAATTCCCAAGGTAGTGTCCCAACTGCTTGTTGCACTTGTTCAGGTCCTTATCTATGGACCGTGGGATTGGGTTGTGTGCTTTATGGTGGTTTTTCCGTTGAACTCAACCCCACGTGCAAAAGAAACATACTATTATCCTGAAGATTCAAACACCTTGAAATTTTTAGGAGTTTTGGTTAATTGGGTGTTTGCGTGGGGAACTAGGTGTTCTAGTTGTTTTGTGCCAAAACTAGGTGTTTTGAAAACATGTGCCCACACATGGCCCAAACTTCCCAAATCAATCCCCCACACTGCCCACGATGATGCGCACATCCTGCTATATCCTGCTCACTCTTCTTTGCAGCGAAGAACGCCGGGGAGCCAAGGTTTAGTGCAGCTATGCTGTCTGTATAGAATGGCTAGACGGAAATGGCATGTGTAGCCCCCTGGGATCTTCATGTCTTCTGTACAACCCAAGGGACTGAGCTACCCATCCGATATTGCTTCCCATCCCATCCAATGAAATTTTCATGACTCCAGCACGAAGCTGCAAACAGTAACAGTGAAACAACTCCAAGCCTCCAGGACATTTTTGTCAAAGCAGGCGCAGCATTGGCAAACCCATAACACATGCAAGTGTTGGCATAGACACACAAGGCATTTGCATTACCCGCTTGGACAACCAAGCGCTGTTGAATTCTAGGAATGCAGGCCTCGTCGTAGAAGGTCTAGAGCGCAGACCCCAACCCCCTTTTATGTTTGAAAACCAGACGTCAACCTTTTCTTCTGTATTACATGCGTCCGGACTTTGGCGGAGAGGGATTCAGCAGTTGGAATCTCAAAGATTTGTAAAAACCTTTTGTGAGGGGTTCATAGAGTTGGCGTCTCAGAAAATGTATATATATATATACGTATATGCTTTCGGAGCTCTCAAGCCGGAGTTCCACCTCGAAGCAGGGGCCAACTGCTGTATTCCCCTTTGGGTCCAAAGATGTTGGGAAATGTCAAAATTCAGCATTGACCAGACAGGTAGTGCTTTTGCGAAGCTGCACAAGACTCCAGGAATGGGTTGCAATTAGGCCTGTCAAGCTTTGCATCAAAGCCATCAGAGCTCTGAAAAGGCCCCTCCCACCCACAACTTTTCCGGCAGCCAAACTGGTCACACTTGCAGCAAAGCCATCATTCCTTGTGTGTGGAAGGAGTGCGCAATAACCCCAATCATTGCCAGGCCAGCAGAACATAGCAGAACTGAGGTAATTGGAGGAAGGGGTCCGCAATCCATTTCTTGCTTCTAAGCTGGGGTTGGCCAACAGCCTGAAATCAAACGTTTATTCCGTTGCGACGTCAGATCCCTGAAGATGCTCCTTTTGGCGCTCCAAAGTTGCAATAACCACGGGAAGGTAAAACACAGGAAATTACCTGATTTTATCACTTTTCAGGATTTGCGGGTGTTTGCGGTTTTTTGCGGGCGTTTAGCGGGTTTTTGCGGGAGTTTTGCGGGTAATTTTGGGTGCGGCAATTCACTGGAAAAGTGTCAAAATTGTACAAACATCAGGTAATTGACCTTTCAGCCTGTTACTTCTGCATACTTCTGCTATGGTGACCCAAACCGCTCAGGCCCAACAGCTCCACCTGACCTGTGACGTCGGAGGCGGCTGGCGAGTGCGTACGCTGAACCAGTGAGTTGTCGCAATTGCGGCCTCTGTGAACAAACAACTTGAGAGAGAGAAAAATAAAAGAAAGGAGCCGTTCTCAAGATCAGCCAGACATATAGTTCCCAACAGCGTGGATCCCACAAACTTTAATCGCGCGTCAAGGTCGTAAAGCTGGCAATTCGGCATCCCACTCGCCAAGAGCCAGGAGCCATTTTCACAGGTGGGACAGCTCAAATGCATTTTGTTTCGCACTAGCCAACTCAAACCCAAAGGCTTGTCGTAATGCCTTGCCCCTAACATCCCCTAACATGATTGCAAGAGAAGCAAGAATTACAGACCGAAAACATGACCCTTTCCAGAGCAGGAGACTGCAAGAGACATCAATCCCCTCACTGTGTCAGGACATACTCGAGAACCAACTACCCTCCGCTAGGTTGTGATATAACTCTGGAGGTCGGACAGTTACTCCAGCCTCGACATAGGGAGTATGTCTGGGCTGCACATCGAAGCTGCGTACATCTTTCCCCAGCTCCTTTTTGCCAATGGTTTTCACGAGAAAGCTACAGGTGCAGATGGCAGAGCGACCCAAATTCATCCCCATTGGACTCAGGGACTAGCAAATCATATATGTGCCCTAAGAGCGATGCGGACCACTCACCTAATCACAGTCTTAAGATGGCCCGTCGCTGAAGCCAGGTATGCATGCCGCCTGGTGTGGAGCCATTTGATCTGTCGACTCCGGGCAGCTGCTTGGACTCAAATAGGATCTAGACAGTTTTTGCTACAGGAAACTGCCACTCACTCTGTAATCATACACTTAATTGAAGTTTTGCAGTGGTAGCCATCGACATAGTTTTGCATACCATGCGTTTGCCAGTGCAATCCAAGGATTGGACGCGTTCCGGATTGATGGCGCTGATGCTATGAGTTGAAAGATGCCCCACCCAGAACGCCCGCTTGCGCGGGCTCCCATGCCCCCAAAAGCCAAAATATCAGCGAGATACACCCTTTTGATCCATTATGCACCAAAAGTAGGTGTTCTGGTTGTTTCAGTTGAGGCTCCAAAAAAGTAGTGATATAGGGTCAAGCACGAGAACTCATGAAAATTTTCAGTCGTTGGAAGATTCAGGATGGTTTGTGATTTTGTGAAACCGGTAGCAAACGCATACAGTATGTTTTAGTATGTGTCATACCTTGTTTGCTGCAACTGGTGTCCTTGAAACCATGGTACATTTGTGTGCCTGCGGATTCCGTCTTACATGGTGACCCACAAAAAAATGGTGCGCCATCAAACTCAGGCAGTTCACAGTATGGCGGTAGCACACATGATGTGGAACGTCGCTTGAAGAACGTCGAGAAACTCTACGCCACCGACGCGGCCTTCGCAGCATATTTGTTTGACGGATCGCTGGTGACCTGGGGTTTGGCAAGATACGGCGGTGATAGCAGCGGAGTGCAAGCAGAGTTGCAGCAACTTTGAGTGAAAAAAACATGTGTCGATGATGGGGTTGGCATTTCTGGAGGTTTAGGCAAAACAGCAATGACTCATCTAGTGCGATCTAGTGCGAAGCCCATGAACACATGGTATGTGTCACCAGCAAGCGGAGCAAATGTATGGGACACTCCCAATGCTTTTCCACATATTCCGATTTAGACTGATTGAGACGGGGATTGTTGGCCCATTGTTTGGGGGATCGTCACGTCTTTGGTCACGTTCGGCGTACGGTTCGTGCCACGCCGTCGATCGATTGTCTCGGTGGTGCGACGTGGTGCTCGACAGAAACGAAGTCCGACGATTGGACGAGAGATGTCGAACAGGTCAACGGTGAACATATTCAGATCCATACCCAGACACGACTAATGGGACTGGCATATATATATGCCGATCAAGCCAGACCCCCCTGGCACCACCACCCCAACTGATCGACATATATGGCAGTCCCATGGAGTGTTAGGCATTATATATGGATGTCGTGTCAGCCCGGCTACAGGGGCCCTCCAACAGGTCGCCATTTGCAACGGTTGTTCAAAACCGAAACCAGAGGAGGCTTGGCGTTTCATCGTCGGGAACCTACGGCATGGGCTGCCACGGTTCCGTGCTACCCACGTCTCTCCGGAATTCCGGCCGCTCCGTTCACGTGGTTCACGTGGCACCCACCGGTCCGCTGCCTTCGACCGGACGAACGCTTCGACCGGACTCGGTTCGACCGGACGAACGGCGCCAGGCGGCCCGGAGGGTCAAAGTGCGAAGATCTGCGAAACCCAAGTCGCCCAGGTACGTCAGACCGGCAGACGTGGTGTTGGGAGCGCCGAAGCGATATGGGACGGTTTGGGTTTTGAGGTGAATGGAACACATCCCCCTTAAAACGGTCAGTCCCCCAAAAAGGGCTTCAAATGTGCCTTGCAATGCCTCGCGGTTTGGTGGTGACGATCTCGGACGGGAGAGTGAGCAAGAGACCGCCGAACACCTGCTGGAGCGAAGGGAAAAGACGAACACGTTGAGCTTCACGGGTCATCAGGGGTTCCAACCACCAGGTTGGAGCTCTAGAAGCTGGAGTTGCCATTCCCAGGTCCAGCCAGGTCCAAGTTCAGGTTTAGTCCTCCAAAACTCCTTGAGTAAAGTCTTCAACTCGTTGTTCTTCATTGTTTTTCTATCAACTCCAGTCAACGGGTAGGTCCCTGACCTGGTTGGGATACGATGCCCAGTGTCGAGCTCGCTGCCCTTGCTCGCTCGCAATCGCTCGCTGTCAGGTTCGCCCCAGAGGTCCCCAAGAAGGCGCGCTATCTGGGCTCGCCAGACTCGGGTCATGCGAGCTGATGTGCAAGAAACATATCCATCACTAAATGGGACTGGAGTATTTTACTTACATTGGGGTAGTTTGAAAAAGGGGTCAATCTATAATAGGTACATATGCCAGTTGTATGCCGTGTTTGGGATTTAGACTAAGACCCGCAACTGTTGGTCAATGGACACCCCTTACCTTCTCAGGGGTTCTTCATAGACACCCCTGTGCTGGGCCCTGTTATGTGTCTTTCCCAGCAAGTTGTTTGAGGCAACAGGTAGGCCACATCGAGCACACAGAATTCCCACAAAGAGGTTTTGGCTAATCAAGGAGTTTCATTCAGATCATATCATGCTGGGCTGCATCTACGATTCTTCCAAAAACATGGATGCTCAAGCATTTGCCAAGGATACAACCCCCTTCTTGGAACCCAATGGTTTCATGATCCAATGGTTTCATGATCTTCATGTTCAAAAGCATTCCTTTTGTTTCCATTCTGGCTTTGTCATGTCACTCCGGTCAAACTTTGCGACTCCCAGTCATGTGAACAGCACGTCCTTGATCGTAGCCTTGGTATGGAGTATTAAGCACCCAAACTTCACCAAAGAGCCACTACTGAAGTGGAATTCTACACGCACTGAGTCATCCCAAAAGTCATCTTGGAAAAAACACCAACAGTTTCCACGAAATCCAGGGCCTTTACCTTCCAATCCTTGGCAGGAGGAGGCCGCCGACCCCGTGGCCGAAACCGTGGACCTCACCAACGGTGCGGCCGCGGCGCCGGCGGCGGCTGAAGCGCCCGTGCCACCGCGCGGGCCGCTGGCGCGCGTGAAGACGGGGCCGCAGATGGTGCGGCGGAAGGTGCCACGTTGGGCCTGGAGACCCAGCCGACGGGGGGCGAGGGCACGGGGGTTCGGGCAGGCTGTTCGGGCGTGAAGCGGACGACCGGTGAGGTGACGAGATTGGGCGTTTTTGGGAGGAAGATGTCTGAAAGGCGGTCGACGGGGTCTTTGGTTTGGTTGAAAAACATGGTCTTGAGAAGTAATACATGGAATCCTTGAACCTGAGATAGGGGACCTAGACACCTGGACTTAGAGAGAGTGAGATCACGGTGCAGAAGGTGCTTGCGGAGTGCTCTTCCCAATGCCTGTGCATTGGGTGTCACCTCCCAGTCTGGTCACAGGTTGAACCCCTGCTGGTAGTAGTGAAAAGTGGTCCAAATCCACAGAAATCTGAATGCTTGCGACATCATCGAATCAGAGGAGTCAGGGTCTGCGAGTTAGTTTCAACAAACAATTTTGGGCACAGTTTTGCAGAAGGGGCTGGAATAAGACAGGAGGCCATCGCTACGTAGTAGGTTGGAGGCCATCGCTATTTATTAGGTTAGAGTTAGAGGCCATCGCTGTTAGATTGGAGGCCATGGAACAGGCAATGACAGTATTACTTTCTGGCTGACTAACATGAAAGTGGACAAGAGCGTGACCCAGTGCTGGTGTGAAAGAGGGGCTGGAATAAGACCACTGCCTTGGGTTTGACACTCCAGTAGATAAGCTTAACTTAACCGTTATTTAGTCAATTAATCAATAAATCTATTTTTAGGGGTGCGGTTTCGCCAGGTTGAAACTGGTCAACGTTCAACCTGCACTTTCCAGGGAAATTGAGGGTGTCAGAAACATGATTTAACAACAATCTCTACGGGTTGAGTTCAAGTACGCCATTTAAATAGTTTCCAGGACCATCCCAGGAGTGCCTAATGGACTACCCTACACTACTTATGGATCTCCACTGGACACCCCTTGGATAGTCCAGGTATCCAAATATAATTACATGGCTCAGAAGAAGGAGGGGCTGTTGAAACCAATTTGCCTTGGGAATACAACACAGTGCTCCTCAGCCCTGCGTGTCTTTTTAATACATACAATAGAGGCTTTTCTTGGAGGCTTCACCTCTGGATGCCTATTGGGTGAGACATCAGTGCCTGGCAGATTCCAGGTGCCCACCTTTCTGGACAGCCAGTCCAAGTCCAGCCAGGTCTTGGAGAGATACCTTGACCCCACCCACCTCACCATACCTGCCAGCAAATCCAAGAGACAACTTGCCATTAAGACACATAACTTTAAAAAATGATGTACGATATATGCCTGATACACTGTAGTGTACTGTATATATATATTAATATATATAGATACTTAGACCTATTTACGTGGGGTCGGCTTGTCCAGCCAGGTGACCCGTTAAACAAGCACCGTTCGTCCATTTGATGTGTACTGTATAGACTCGGCTCGCCTTTTTGGCCAAGAACCCCTACGTACAAGTTGGTCATACAAGTTGGCACTCTTCAAGCAAGCAAACGACCTGGTTTTACGGGGCCGTCCTGGACTTCTAGGGAACCATATGTGATCAGACTGCCGTTTGGAGCCTAACCTGAGACGCAACGCTTAGGCGCCCGATGGCGGAGGAGCTGAGCTCTTGGTGGCGGACAAAGGCGAGGAGGGAAGGCTCTTGGTAGTGCAGGTGTGTGGTGAACAAAAGACAGACGAAAGGGAGCCCGGCTTTCTTCTGTTGGAAGGTCACTTATGAGTTGTACTCGCCTCTTCTAGAGTTGTACTCGTTTGTACTTATGAACTTCAGTTGGGTCCTCGTCTCATTCCAAAAGACCTTGAGATTGACCGTGTTTTTCCTTTTTCACCATTCACCATGTACAGGAAGTGGATATACCTGGACCCTCCAAAGTACCTTAGAAAATGGGACATGACCCTACTACAACACAGGTACGACTGTACCCATTTTCTGAAGTACGAACAGGTCGACTCCAGGTAGAAGTGGATCAAGCCCCCAAGTGTGTATCCAGGACCTCCAGACAGGACACTTCGACAGGAAGGCCCAGGAAATGTCACTTCACGAGACGAGTTTCATGGGAAAAACGGACCTACCGTCGACGGACGCTCAAGTGCTCCCGGAGTTCCCTGAGTCCAGGACGCTGGTCAACCCTGGAATGACCAGGACCACTCAAGAACTCAAGAACCGCCCCCAGGATAGGGACTCAACACAACCCAACTCCATGTGCCTGGATGGTTTGTTTGGCACCTCAGGGATTGGTGGTGAGCTGGACACCCTCACGGAGGCGCGGGTGAACCCCGAGCAGGGAGTGGCGGGTTACGAGTGGCGGGTTACGAGCGGTTAGTGGGGGATCCAGGTCTGGCCGGATGTGAGAGGAGTTAACATATGTTATACTGGTATGTGGTATACTCCTCTATGTTATACAGGCATATACTATATACCAACAGACATATACTGGTCAATTATTGAGGGGTTCTTTCAGGATGAAACATTTGGCTGGTGTACGTGGTTTACACAGCATGATATAGACTAGTCTAGGTGCACATGTTTATGATGTGCACGATTGTGCACCCTCGGGTTCGTAGAAGTGGTGTGCCAGAGAGATACAATGAACCTGAAGGGTTTGATAAGTTGGTCCTGCATCTCAGAGTCTCCAGTTTTCAATGAACAAGAGAGGTTTTGAATATGTAGCAATAATTTGGATACAAGTTCGGGACCTCCAGAAGTATGGGTCAAAACAAACTGCGCCGAAATCTGACACGTGGAGAGCTTGGTTGGATTAATGCTGGTCTCCCAATCTCTCTATATCATGTCGATTTCTGTACTTCGACTCTGCAAAAGTGAGGATCGTGCAAAAAAGGAACAAAACAAAACAACTCATGAGTTGGGCTCGCACATTTTGACATCCATTTTCACACTCAGGTTTTCAGCTCAGACGGCAATTTGTTTTCAGGATTGCTGTTGGACTGTTATTTGTTGGGGGGGGCGGTAGAGCTTCCAAGATGGTAGAGCTTTCAAGTTGAGAACATATATAGATGATACCAAATTAATTACCCAAATGTCAGAGCCACTGATCGCAATATACGGACCATCGTCCCATTCAGATCAGTGTCTTTGATTGCTGAGGAAACGATCGTCATGCTTTGGTGAAACCGGATTCCCTCGGAATCTACACGGCACCCACCAAGTTGCACAGAAACGTGTTTGCCCTACGCAAGCATGACAAAGCTGTAGTGCCATTCAACTGGAGACGCTGCTTCACACTTCACATCATCATTCATCACCGGCTCTGTAGTAGGGGTGTCCCATCTACGGTGTTCATGCAAGCATATCCATCTAGAGCTTGCATGAGGACCACAGATTGACAGATTCTGTGTTTTGAATTTCCATCCCTTAGGAGGGGACAAGGGTTGAATATGGTTGAATCACTTCTTTCCAGGTGGTTCCACACGGCAGGCAGAGAACGCATGGAACAGTTCAAGCCCTTCGCAATGTAGACAATTGATTCTATTTCAACCTCCCATATGGAGAGGTGTGTCAAACCGTGTCTAGGGATATCTTGTGAGTCGGGAGCCTACATTATAGACGAGTTCGGGATCCAACATGGATACCCAGTTCCACATCCTGGTCCATGTACCTTTGATCTTGGGACACAGAACCAGAGTCAGAGTCAACCCCTCCCCAAGACATTGCTGTTTTTTTTTTTCGGGGGCCACTGCGGCCGATGCTTTCATCCCCAAACGCGCAGGAACAGGTGCCCGGAGACGGAAGGCTGGGCGGCGGCTTTGAGCGGGGAGTCTGCATGCCTGTCCTGCGTGGGAAACCATCATATGCGGCAGCGAAACATGGAAGTGGAGAATCCCCTGAAAAGGAGAATTGCCTTTCCAGGGGCCAGGACGTCCACTTCCAGTCCACTTGTTGCAGGGGGAAAGATGATGTCACATTGAAGCTGATGCGACTAGCTGGCCCCCTATCCATTTTGTTGTCCCCAAGAAAAGGAACTGCGAACCCTGTGGAGCCGAATTGCCTTCGAAAGCTGGATCATTTGTGTCTTGACCCTTTCACACCATGGCTACCACATCGGCTGTGCCCCCCCCACCCCTCCGCGATTGGATCGATCCATGCTCGTTCATGCGGTCAGGGAGGAAGGGGTCGACTCCTTTATGACGTCCGGGTGATGGGATCCTCTACGTACCACGTCTCGGGTGAGGAACACGTCGTGTAGCGATAGTTCAGGGGCACTCCTTGGATGTCCAGGTGTCGAATTCCCCTTTTGGCTTGAAGAACAACTAGTGTGTCATATCTGGACCCTATTTCAGATCTTCAGATCGTCAGATCGGCCTGCAAAACCCCCGGCTTCTTCTGCTTGATGACCAGCGCATGATCTCATCACACGTGTCGCGCCAGGGTCTATCGTGTGATTTATGACATGGGCATCGGTGACTTGGGCATCACTACGACGTGACGCGAAGATCGGGGCTTCTGGGTGGGCTGAAGCGGCGGCGGCTTTTTTTCTCCGTGTGACCAAGAGAAAGACCACCATGCGGGGCACCATGGGTGAAGTAACCCCAAACATGAAAGCAGGTCCCATTCATCACATAGGTCCCCCCACTCCGCATTCCAACCAAACCTCCTCCGTCCGATGGCCACCTCCATCCCTCCCACCTCTCCGTCCAGTCGCGCGCTTTCCTCGCGGTGCCAGGCATCCGCAAGGAGCCCAGCATCGGCGCCAAGCGCACGGGCGAAGATTTGCTGAACGGCGAGTGCTTCGAGATCAAGACCGAGGTGGGCTTAACGGATGTGAAGAGGAAGGTGTGGGTGGACGGGCGGTTTTGGTGAGGGAGGGAGGCAGGGAGGGAGGGAGGGAGGGAGGTTTAAGGGTGCGTGCTGTGAGCGTTTGGTTTACAGGATGTTTATGATATAAGTGCATGAATCTGGATTTGTTGGGTTGTTCCAATGATTTCGCAGAGTTGGGTGGAGTTGATCTCAGTCAGTGGAATGTGTGTTGGCTTTTTGGGATCAGAACCCCCCTAAGTTCTCCTTACAGGATTTGAACACTGCAGAATCCTTTCTTTGGGGATGTTTTGGGTATTACCCGACTCAAAGCAAAATCCCTTGACTTTACGTAGGCTTTGGCACCTATATATTATCTAATCTATCTATCTAATCCATTCCCCGTTTCTGGCACCGGTTTTTCACCACCAACTGGGAGGCCAGTGGACCCCCCAACGCACCCTGTTCATTCCATCACCTGACTGCAACCAGGACCTGCAAGGACTTGAAGAGGTCTGACCTCATTTTCACTGGAGTTGATCATCTCTAGGTCTCCAGATCACTTGGTTTCGGTTCGGTGGCACGACCCGAGCCCGGGTGCCATTGTCCGAGCCCGGTCCAGTACACCTCAGGTGAGGCACCATCGTGCGTCCGGTCCGGGCATACAAAAACCACGATACTCAATGAGGTGTTCAGGACCCGGAGATGAGGCTTCAGGTTCTCATGAGTCCTTTGGACCCCCTCTCCGAACGCACAGAGAGGTGTTCACTGATTCAGAGGTCCACCTGCGATGCGGCAATGATTTCTTGGAGAGGTCTCATATGAAAAGCCTGGGAGAAAAGGTGTATACGAACATTCCAAGAAGATCCAAAATCAAACATCCAAATTTCAGTCCCTGCCTTTCGAATTTTCCGGCTTCACTTGACTCTAAGATAAGGAACGAAGCTTTGTGTGCCAGGAGTCACAAAGGGGTGGTGTTTAGTCTCCAAGTGAGTGGATAATGGGCACTCCTAACCTCCATTAAGCACCCCTTTGTGACTGCTGGTGGAAGCTTTGTGTGGCTTCACTTGACTCCACGTCGATCAGCTCCGCGCCCGCGTCGATCCGCCGCCGCGTCGATCTGCTCCAGCTCCGCCGCGCTGGACGGCGCTACTTTGAGCTCCTGGACGGCCGTGGATGGGTCTTCGACTGGACCCGAAGCTACGTGCGCGCGCAAGCGCCGCGTGATGCGCCTGATGCGAAGCCACGAGGGAGAGAGAGGGGAGAGAGAGGGTAGAGAGAGGGAGAGAGTGAACATGAAGGCAGAAGCGAAGAAGCGGGCTCTATGCTGGGTGTTGTGGGTCTCGGAGCCTGCAGACTGGCATGATTTGTTGGGCGCAAAAGGCAAGAGACATATCACATATCATATCAGATTGAGGTTCAACAGTACCTTCATCAATATTTAATGCTGGATCTTGATTAGTAAAAGGGATTCCCCCTAAACAAATGGGAGGCCCCTCGATTTTGCTGAGCCAAGCAGCAAGATGCTTGAAAACGCGGGGGGGTCGGACGCGGTTGTTCAGCTCGTTCGGAGACGAAAGTTCGCTGATCAAGCGCAGATCTGGATTGGAACCAACCCTCCCTATATAGGATCCAGTCGAACACCTCACCTCAGGTTCGGTACGACTGGACCCGACGTTTTGGCAGCTACATAGCAGTGGACCCTCCACATCACCTCCTGAGGTTCGGTACGACTCGATCCCTTTTGGGGGCCCAAAAGGCTATAGGGCCTATAGGGCACTCACCAGACCCCTTTAGACCCCTCAGACCTCCACCGCACGCTGCTGGACCCCCGCAGGACCGAGATCAACGGGGATCGAGTCGACTTGGTCGAGCCGGGGCGTTCCCAGAGCGGCGTTCGATGTCGGATGCGGAGTTCCTTCGGCTCCAAGCCAAGCCCTATTCGGCTCGGGGATGCTCTGGGTCTAAGGGTGGTTGATGCATGTTGATTCAATCATTTAGAGTGCTTATAAAGGGTGTTCTGGGTTGTCTCTTAGCAGTACCAGCTCTAAGGTGATGTGAATGTAAAATAGAAGCTCCTCCAGATTCCAGACTCTTTTTTTTGACATGTTGACAACAGTGCCGCTTGCCAGTCGGTATACTCAGCAGTTGCCCGTGGCTGAGGTTGGCTGCACAGCTCTACACAGTCCGGAGCGACGGAGAGCGACGAAAGAGAGATGGTTGTGGGTTTATACCCGAGAATGATCCGCCGTTTTCGATCCATCCACCAGGTACCACTTGCTAGACCGGTGTGAAGTTCGGTGTAGACCTGTGTTGGAACTAGGGAGACCTGTTGGACACCTGAAAAGACCGCACAAAATGGAGCGACCTGATGAGCTTTGGTTGGGGACCTATATAGACCTGGACGACAGACCTTGAAGCTTGCTGTATTAACACTGTGCTCTGATGCTTCATTTCACAGAAAGGTTGTTTATTTGTTTTCATTTTAAAGTTATTGGCCTTTGTCATGTTTGAAGAAACATACTATTGACTGCAAAAGGATGCAAAAGGACAGACCATGGGGAGTAGTAAAGGGATCTATTTAGACAAAGAGGAACACTCAAACAACACCATACCATACCTAAATCGTCCAACTATGCAACATTTTGGCTGGTTGTAACGATGCAAAGGCGCAATTTTTGCACTTGTTGATGATTTTAAACAAATGGTGGGCCGTCTCCCTATCCCTATTAAACATACCAATCCAATGTTCCTGGATGAATCATTCAACGGATCTATATCTGGGACGTCGATAAACGCTTGGACTTTGGACATGTCCCTGATTTTCCTGCCCTGGAGACCCCCCCCAAAGCCATCCAACAGCCCGGTCCTCAGGGCACCTGTTTTGTTCAGCGGAGAACTCAAACGCCGACGCGAACAGAAACAAACACGTTTTGCGAAACGTGTGGCAAAAGGTGTGGAAACCCGGAACTGTCGGAAACAAGCGTCCAGATGGTCTGAACGTTTGCATATAAGACCTGTCAAACCACCGCTCCTGACGTGTCCAGCAGAAGGTGACTACAGACTACCGGTACCCATCCCTAGGGCTCCAGTCGTACCTCCTCAGGTTCGGTATGACTGGACCCGAACCTGGCACCCTAGTCCCACCAAACCTTAGGTTCGGTACGACTGGAGCCCGGTCCGGGCATGTCCACTACGTCGCACGTGGCACGTTCTTGCCCGACCGAATTGAGGTCGCCTTCCCCGATGGCGTCAACGGCATCGCCTGGAGTCGCTTGGAACTAACAAACCATTTGGGTTGGGACGGCTTTTTTTGGAGTTCGCTCCAAGAGTTCGAACTTGGGGTCAGGAGTCTTCCTGATGTTGTTTTTGTTTCTTTTGTTTGTTCATGAGGCTTCCAAGTCTCATCTTCCCAAGTCATGTAGACTCTGGATGAGTTGATGAGACCGCCCGGAGGGTTCGATATGTTACAGATCTTCCAGCCAACGGCTTCTAAGAAGGTACGGCCTGGTTAATGAAAAACATCTCTAGGGCTCCAGCCATATCCTCAGAAGGTATGGCTGGACCCTCCCAGCACCCACACCAGAACGACTGGAGCCCTAGGGTTCATGAAAAAAAGATGGAAGTTCTGGGAGAACTCACCGAACTCACCCAGGCTCCGACCAGACGATGCGCTTCTGCACCGTGAACGGCTTCACCAACGAGGCGCGTCCTCGGACGCGAGCAACGTGCCGGGTCATGTCGACAGGTCGCCTTTTTGGGGGGAACGGAATGCCGAGCTCAGAAGGTTGGATGTGTTTTGGTTTGGAATCACGGATTACATCGGGTAAGATTGGACATTGGATCTATTCCGTATATCCAGTCGTGAACTCAAAATCCATAGAGCAGCATCCCAGTGAGGTGGTTTCCAGGCGTGCACCATTCATGAAGCAATTTGTCATTGAAAGGGTTGAAAAGAATGGCAAGAGTTGGAAGCAAGGAAAGAGCGCCTGTAAGGATAGGCCAAGACGGACTGAGTGGCGACGCTCATATAGAAAGTTGTGTCCTTTGACAGCCAATTTGCGGGCATCCGTAGATGTGGAGGATGTAATAAGTAAGCTTAAATGCGCTACACCGCTACACATCATCCTTATTATATGTGATGATCCTTGAAATCTTATGCTTCAAGCTTCAGGTTAAGTAAACTTGGAAAAGTAGGCGCACCAAACACATCAGTGGAGCGATCCAACAGGAGCCCGGTACCCACCAAACAACCTCCTGAGCGGAGGAGCATCACGAGCCACGACGAGCTGCCCGAATTCTTTTGTCGAAACGGTGTGATGTAGTGAACCTGCTTTTTGTTTTGTTTTTTCTGTTGTGTGAAAAGAGGAAGGTGCAACTTCAAGCAAAAGACAGGTGTATATAGTATACAAGTGTATGTATAGGTCATTTAAGTGAGAAGGGTGCACTCACAGCCGATGCACTTTTTTGTGGGGCACAGTTCGAACACCATTTCGGGCAGATTGTGTGCTGCTGTTCTTTGTTGTTCGCAGAGGTGATTCAGGAAACAAAAAGAAAACAAAGAAAGCGACAGGTGCTGTTTCGCCAGGAGAACATTTTTTCCAGAACCAGCAGCAACTTTGCACAAGGCGCAAACATAGGTGTAAAATCCAATGAACATGCACAGACCTCCACAACATTCCAACAACATATGGGGAACCCAAAAAAGCTGTGGAGGCAAATATACAAGTATTATATACTATACAATTATATATATATATATATTGCATTATATTGCATATAGGGACCATCCTCACATCTCCTCACCCAACGAGACGGTGACCTCCCAACCTCCTCACCGTGGTCACTCCGCACCGACCCGTGGGGATGGGACGGACCCGGCCGAGGGCGAAGCGACCAACTTAGCACAGGCAGGTGGGGTGGAGGGACGAACAGCGGTCGGAGCACGTGGCCGACATGCGGTCGGAGCTGTCTTGTTTGATGCGGAGGAAATGGTTTTTGCTTTAATGATCTTATTGAACATCCTGGTTTCCTGGGGTGTTCATCCCTGGCAGGGGGAAGACTTGTTGAATGTCCCGGCTTCCTGGAGAAATCCAAGCATCGGGATTTTAGGGAGATCATTACCTCATATATGACAAGCTTCTTTCGCAGGTTCTTTGGTGCGAGTGTGTACTTCCATTTCTTCGGATGGTCGTTTCAAGGAGATCCAATTCGGATGGTTCACCCAACCAAAAGGCTCAGTGTGCCAAAGAGGTTTTTTATCGAGGAGCGGCTCGAGCCCGTTTTTGAGTAGAGAGTAGGGATGAAGTTGGTAACCCCCAAAACTCCATGAGAAAACCAAAACATATCCTTGGACAAGTAGCAGTTGGATGAAAGTAGCGGTTTTTGGCAGAGTATGGATGAACGTAGCAGTTTTGGCCTTGGACAAACAATGTCTCTCTCCACGGAGAGATATGAATTTAATAGCCTTTGAACTCTGGACGTATTGGGGTCTAAATGTTCAAGCAACGCAAGAACATCATGAACCTTACTGCAGCCGGCCAGGTAGGGGTGGCGTTTTGGGTCGCAAGGAAGCTAGCTAGCCAAGCTTGGGCCATAGGAGATCAAACGCCTTCAAACGCGCTTGATTTAGTCCCTGTCCTTAAGGACAGGGTCCCATGTTTTTGGAAAGCCAGAGAATTCCACCGCCTTCCAAACCAACCCGTCTGACGGATTTTACCGACCTGGTGACATCAAATCCCCCTAGGGCTCCAACCCCCCACCGAACCGAAGAGGGTGGGTGTGTGTTTAGGGCTCGGTCTAAGCACCGGTCACCGGGTCGCAGCTGGGACGAAGGAAGTCGCCGTTGGATCCATTCAAGGCCGGCATTCGCACCGGAGACGTCCTGGTGATGATTGACCAGGACCGGACTTTCGTTTGGTCTTCGGCTTAAGGTCGGTCCGAGCTTCGGTGACTGGACAGTGTCGATGAAAGGAGCAGCTGAGGTTGGGGACCTGCATGACCTTGGGAGGTTGGGGACCTGTCCCACACAACGAACTTGGTTGGGGCCTGCAGATCAGGGGATCTTTGATTTTCCCCCAGGTTTGGGGGTCAATCCCCAAACCTGGGGAATATCTTGGGTTTGCTTGTTCTGACCTGTAACAGTCAGTAAACAATATATGACAATTTTTGAACAAGGCCTTTATTCACACCATCATCATCCACTGCACCCAAGCAATAGGATCGGATAGACCCAAGGAATCTCTCTCTTCCTTTTTGTTCCAGGCTTCCTGGCAGCCGCAAATCCCAGTTGAATCGGTGGAACATGGCATCGAACGATATCGGTCACGTCTTGCTCTCCCAGTGTCAGAAGTCACCTGTACCATCGGTCCAGGGGACACCCTGCCGATGTCGATCCCTGTCGATCGTCGTCCTGACGGATAGTCCAGGGACGCCCCGGTTTCGTGGGGTTTTCTGACCAATGCGGAGGTGTCATGGAAGATTTCATGGCTCAAAACTTCACAGACATGCAATCATGGCACTTCAGAGCTGCTCATTTAGTTCTCTTGAACAGTTGATTTCTTTGTGGGACGGACTAGAAAACAGATGTAAACTTACAGCTTACGTATGACCTTGGGAGGGCAGGTCAAACACCACTCACCAATCCGCGATCGACACGCACCATTCAGTTTGGAACAGAGAAAGCAAGGCTCTCGGCCCTAAAAAGACATAGCACAGACCTCATTGATTATACAGTATAAAGAAGTGGTTGGATGAATTACTTGCAGGGGAAACGATTTCCTTGTCCCTCGAGTGGCTTGCCCAGAACTGATTTGAGATGATTTGAGTCCAAATTTCAGCAAATTGTGGGTAATGATGTCGATGTATCTTCCTGTCACTGGTCATATTTGATCATTGACCTAGACAATCTCCTGTTGTTTCATGCAGTTCATGCGTTCGTTGTTGGAATTTCACGGCGAGATGGGCACAAGCCTTGAGTTGACACAAGCCTCAAATGTAAAACAAGAGAAGTTCATGACCATGACACGGGTGTGTTCTCTTTCCTTCTGAACCCCATGAACCCCGAAACTGAAGCCCTCCCCTTCTACACCACGCGCGCGCGCGGTTGATGCGGAATGCGGCAGGATCCAGTGGTGGGCATGCCCTTTGGCACTGCTGGGGGCCCAGAGTGTTGCACAAGAGGATGGCCAACCGACTCCAACAAGACCGTTTCTGTCACCCCAACCCCTATACGGATGCACAGATGCACCCCCTACCGACCCAAAAACACCGATGTCCTGGACCAGGAAGCGCCTGCAGATTTCTGTCACCCTACCTGAGAAGCTACGTGGATCCCTAAAATGGAAGTGGACAATGGATGAACATGGCTCCTTGAAAGACCATTCTGCGCTGCAACCAGGGGTGTGTCCACGTTCATGATTGTTGGAGGGAGGGTTAATATCCAAAACTTCACCAAAATCCCTCGATCTTAAAGAGGAGGCTGAAGGTGCTTTTTTTCCGCTGCCCCATAGTCCAAGTGTTAGATCCTGAAATCGATTGCAGCAGGTGTTTTTCACTGAGTGGGCTGGCAAAAGTTTGCTAAAAGGAAGCAAACCTGCACTGCTCCAAGATCCGCCTCAAGAAGCCCAGAGCTGTGAAGTTTTGGCTGATCCAATTGGATCGCAGGCAGACATCTAAAATCATTAAGTCGACTTGAGGCCAACTCCAGAAACTCAAGAAAAACCTGTGAAACCACATCCCCCAATCCTTCCAATCACCCAGACACTCCAAGATACTCTGTGGAAGTACCATACTTGCCCACATCGGGGGTGGTTGATTTCAGGGGGTCACTGTATACGCTACAACAATTCCATTCCCACGGAGTCTTTTGGGATCATGCTATAGCATCTCAATGATCTCATGAACCCATCTACCTGCCACCCGCCACCCACTCCACCCGCAAACCACCGCCCATCTCCACAGCTCGCCCACGTACCGCTGCGCTCACCGGGTGACCGCCCAACCCGCCGCTGTCCACCGAGGTCCTGGAGCGGATTTGGGCAACGGCCGGGCGCCAGCCGGGCTCAGGCGGGGACGACGGTGGCACGGTGGCTGTGGAGACGGGTGCGGTGCCTGGGCGATTGGTGTGAAGGAAGAGGAGAAGGATCATTAGATGGAGTGTCTGTCCGTTGGCCACTCTGGGATCTAGACGGAATTAGAGTATAATTTGCCGTGATTGGACTGATTGGATCAATGTTCTCCCCGCTGGCCACTCAGCACGGGTATGGAAAGAAGTTAAAGACCTCCAGAGACCTCAAGTGTAGTCCTTGAGATGCCTTGAAGTGACAACGAAGTTCACAAGCAAGCTTCTGTAAGGGGAGGCCTGCATATCCTTTTGTACCCTTTTGTGGTGTTTTCGTTCTTCGGCCGCAGGGACCTCGGATCTCGGAAGACAGTAAAAATTCCCTAGGGCTCCAACCACCTCCTCAGAAGATACTTAGACCCTCCTAATCCACCCCAGTCCCACCGAACCTCAGGAGGTAGGCTCGGAGCCCGAAAAAGGGATTAGAAGTTCCCATACTGCGGTCTCCTTCCTGACCGAACCGACCGGCGCGGCGCAACAACCGCCCGTCCAACCCGGTGAGATCGACCGCGTCGCAGCTTGTGGAGGCTACTTCTACAAGGTGACCACTGAGAACCCCTACGGCATCGGGCTGCTGGGCGGCACTGGGCCCCCAAGATTTCTCCCACCCAGCGCCTGAGCGCCAGCGCCTGAGCGCCTGTCATCATCGCCTGTCATCGGTCGTGCAATCCAGAAGCCTTCCACGACCCGTGGGGGACTGGCATATTTAAGGCTGGTGTGTATACCTGGACCCTCCAAAGTATCTTAGAAAATGGGACCTGACCCTACTACAACACAGGTACGACTACGACTGTACCCATTTTCTGAAGTACGAACTGAGACTCTAGTATATTAATATCACACCTCTTCACGCACCCCAACTCGCTACTTGTATCCCAAACATTCCATGGGACTGGAATATATGCCGCTCCAAGTGCCGCTCCATTGACCCCGGTTGCAACCAACCAACCCCAAGTGTATAAGGATGTTTTCAGGTTAATCTTCCAATCCCATGAAATGGCTAGGTCCACTTCTGCTCTCCCATGGGTCGTGGGAGATGTGACCCTGGATGGTCCGGGTGGTCCCTTGCGCCTAGGACCTAGGTAGTCGGAGGGAGGGGCTCGATGAGACCGTCAACACCGCTGTCGCCAGGTTTCGGAGAACCGTCCGGTTGTGAGGTTTGAGCCTCATTGGGTCAATTTTCCGAGGGAATCATATGTCCCAGCTATCCAAGAACTGGTGCAGTTGATGGGGTACTTGCAAGATATGATGGACATTTTGGCCTATCCAAGCCCCTAAACCTCCAAGTACCTCCTCAGAAGGTATTTGGACCCTCCAAACCCACCCCAAACACCTTCACCGAAGGTACTTGGAGGCCTAGGGTCCATACTGCAGGTATTTTCGCCAGCTACTGACTTCACTGGCAATGATGGAATGATTCTAGACAAATGTATGACTTCTTCAGGATTGACATTTTTTCCCCTTCAATCATTTCACCCAATCTTTATTTGTGGTACCTTCCCAGTTCGCCTGACCTTCCCTCGCCCCTCCTGGTGTTCCTCCCAGGATTCGCGACGAGCCGGACGTGGATGGCCCGCGCACCGGGGAGGACTTGATTCGAGGCTCCGTCTTTGAGGCGGCCGACCGATCCCCCGTCCAGAACCGGGCGGAGAAGAGGAGGAGGGTGGAGCGATTTTGGGCGACGTACTCGGGAGAGACGTGGACGATGGGTAGGGATGGGTGGAAGGGCCATGGTTTCTTTCACATTTTGGAGTTGTTCCTATGGTGACCTACAAAATGGGGGCCTTGACCCCTTAGGTGTAATTGTAATGGGGATCTATGGCCTAATAACTAGTCAATCATTTCTCCAAACGGCGCGACATCCTGCATCGAAAAAGAAAAGGATCCCTTTTCGAGTCGCCGGATGCACGACGACCGGGATTGATGATGGGGTGGGGGCGGTTTGGGTTCGAAGCCGACCATGTGCAGTAAAAAGGCCCAGAGCTTAGATAGAACAGTAGATCCACACGTAGAAAATGTGTTGGAAGCCGTTGCTAAGATTTTCTATTTGTTTGAAGATCGAAGTCTTCGATGCGTGGCATGACAGAACGAGACATGCGAGACACTCAAGCACTGAGTGACCCCCAACAATATCCATTCAACCCCTCCAAAAAAGAAGCTCACAGTGCTGGGACCAGGTGAGTCCGTCCCATCCAGTGAGTGGATGTTCTGGGCACCCCTATCCTTCAATCCCCAGCGATCCAGTCGTACCGAACCTCAGGTGATGTGTTCGACACTGAGACATGTAGGTGCCAAAACCTGAGGTTCGGTACGACTGGATCCCTGGGGAATAGGCACTGCCACGGTCGGTCGGTCGCAGTCCGTCTGTCCGACAGGTGGATGAGGTCGTCGAGGTGGAGGAGGGGCGTGACGTCGCTTTTGGCTGCGTGTGTTTGTTCGATTAATTTGGACACATAATAAAACATGTGTTCTAAGAATGAAACGTCAAGTTCATTTTGATTCACATGATCTTGTTTATTGGTTTTGAATGTTTTGATATTTCTTGAAGGTGGAAACCATAGCCATCCGCCATCCACCTGGACAATTGCGGATACGTAGCTCTTCCATGCATGCACAGCTAGCTGCACAGCTAGCTGTCGTCATGTCGTCCTATTTTCTACCTAGAGTGCACAGGTATGTTATACAGGATTGCACCATCCTGTCTGGGTGTCCGGACTACCCAGCCCACTCCTTAGAGATGTCCAGACAGGGTCCAGGCAGGTAGACCTGTATGTTCCCGGCTCCGATCGTCCCATCTCCGACCCGGTGACCGGTGGTATTCGACCGACCCCCCTGGCACCCACCCACCCACCCCTGGCCCATGATCGAACCGAAACGGGTTCGGTGGGGGGTTGGAGCCCTATAGGGCTTTTAAAACCGAGTCGCATCGACGTTGACGTCTCTCCTTGCTCTTCGATGAAATGGACTCGGCAGAAGAGGGAAGTCACGGGCCTCCGCAGGGACTCCACAAGGTTCCGCACGGCAAAGGGGGGACGGGTGTTTTGCTTGGGATGCGTGGCATAGAGATTTGTTCTTAGCTTAGCTTAGCTTAGTTTTTTTGATATATGATATATCCATTGATCATCCGGGATTGCTCATCTCGAGTTTTGTGCAGTCTTCCATGTGACAGAAGCAAATCCAAGATGAACAGACTGTAGCTGCAACAGTGAGGGTGGGATGCCCTTGAGAGGATCAGAAAGAGTTCCAAGTTATGAAGGAATGACTCCTCCACCACTCAGCCCATCATCGATCACCCTCAGTCACCCTCGGTCACCGCCACTCAGCCAGTCGCATCGGTCGGTTCGCATCTGCGTCCCTTCAGTCGTCCAGGAGGATCTCACTTATTTGCATTTGGCTGATCAGCGCGGCTGGGTTGGGGTCGCCCAGGTGTTTCACCACGTTCACGGCGACCGGTCCTGGGAGACTGGTCCCGTCCCGGAAGGTTGCTGCCGTGGTGCTTCGTGAAAATCCGAAGACGATGAAAACGGCCAAATGCTATAGCCATAATATTTATGAAGAACTATGGACATACTGATTTAGGATGATTTTAGGGGTACTGTATATACGGATTTGGCCAAGGTTCCTCTCAGAACAGGTCCAGCCTGAAGACATGTAGGTGCGAGGGTCCAGTCGTACCGAACCTGAGAAGGTACTTGGATGACTAGGGCTTCAGTGATTGTGTCTTTTGCAGCTTTTTTTTTCCAGCAGGAACGGTAGGAACCGATTCGGATCATGGCACTGGGAAACCCTCTGTGTTTTTTGTTCCACCCAAAATGACCAGAATCGACTACAAGGACATGGTCACCCGATTTGGTGTTTTCCATGTTTTTTTTTCCGGGTTTTGCTGGGTGCCTTTGGACCCACAAGAAGAACCATCTTGGCTGCTATCGTTCGTTTCCCTCCATCATACCCACACGGATGGCCCTAAACGCGCCCTCCATGCGGGCATGGGCACCGCAGGGGCGGCACGTCAGGTCTTTGACAACTCGATCTTCGAGCCCGAGAACCCGCCCGGAGCGCCGAGAGGGCCTCGGTGGAGTCCGAGCAAAGTAGTCCCAGATTCCATGGTTGGAATGGATGTTGCACCGCACCCGGCATCGATCTCAGTGTGGTCACTCGACCCACCCACTTACTGTACCCAGACACATCCCAGACACTGCATGTATGGAACATATGATTTCATGATGTTTATATTGCCTATAGATTGACCCCTCAAACCACACCGGGCCCGGAACAAATGCCATACATTGATCAAGTCAGGTTTTTCCAGAATGAGACTTGACGACTGAAGCGTTCACTCTTGAGTCTGGTGCTAGCCGGCGCCAGACTCTTCACTTCCGACTCTTCTCGGGCATTGACTCCGAGCTTCGCTTCCCAGACGCTCATTAGACCCAACCAGTTCGCGGTGGTTTTGACCCTCACAACGGTTTGGGACTGAACCAACATGTAGCAGTTGGTTCGGGTCAATGAGAGTCTGGGTTGTATAATTTCCGGAGAAGTGCCAGGTGTGTGGTGAATCTCGCAGAGATCGAGCCGGGCTGCACGTTGACCATGTGGCGTGGCGAGGCGGGAGAAGAGAGGACACTCTCACCGGCCCTTTTCGAGGTCAGAACACGCACCGTCGCCATCCGAAACCGGGAAGTAGGGAAAAGTGGATCACCGTCGCAGGGAAAACCGAACCTTTTGGGGGAGAAGTTGGATTTGATCATCGTGAGGTCCAAGAACAGGGTGGAAAGTTCCAGATGTTTGACATCGGGAGTCAGTAAACGGACATCCCAGTGCAATGTCAGTGGAATTTGAGAGTCAAATGTCACTTGGCGACATGAGACATGTCAATGAAGCCGGCAAGTCATGTTTCACTTGGAGACTCTGGGTGTGGATGGGTTCCAGGGGTGGGGCCGAATTATGCCGAAAGTGAATGCTGATCTTGCTTCTTGAGGACAGCCAAAATAAAAGATTGATGAATTTTGAACACCTGACTGTCAGGGTTGTCTCGGAAGGTATGCACAAGGAGCACTTGGCAAGGCAAATCTTCCCAAACTCGGACCCAACATCACCTCAGACCAACACACCAAAAAGGGGACCTTGCCCCCTCGAAGCCATACCCTGCTGGCAAAACAGCGCCAAAGCGGGCAATTTCAGGTCGACGAGCTGGCGAAGACCATTGGCCTGAAGTTCCGCCAGGCACAAACTTGCATAATTGGCCAGGGACAGAGTGTCGTTTGCCGGGATCATCCAGGATATATATATATATATAGGGGTCCACTGCAAGATTGGTACACATCAAGGAGTAGAGCTATATCAATAGGAGTAGATCCCGGATATCATTTTGGGGGGTCAGAGAGGATAATATAGACAATTTAAATAGACAATAGCAAGTCCATGAGCACACGTCACACTTTGACATTGGTTTTCAGTTAACTCAATTCCCAGGAGAAAAGGAGTGGCGTAACGGCAAGGTGAAGAGTCCGATCATTTGAAGGTGTTTTAACATTGAAGTTTCTCTCATCTGCAGTGGTGCAACAGCAGCGCGCGAGCGAAGACAAGCGGCAAAGGAAAAGTTTAAGGGAGGTATCATGTGAACCACCATGAATCAACCCGTGGAAAAGTACGGTGACAGCTTGTGAAAAACAGAGCAGGTACACGGAAGTGATCAGCTTTCGCCTCCTAGGATCTTGCAAGGAGCTTCGTTGGGCAGAGCCTTGCAAGTCCTCTCTGCCCCCCTGCATTCAAAACTCTTAGTTACAGAGGTTGACGCACACACGAAGCCGCTTTGCGGCGCTCTCGCGGAGGACCTGAATAGGTACCTAAAAAGCCTTAGAAACAAAAAAAGAAAAACAGAAAGAGCAGCGCTAAGAGGGCAAGAGAGAAAGGTAGGAGTAGACAAAGGTGAATACTTAGCCCTTGACTGGGGTAGGGAAACGAGCCTCAAGAACAACCTAAAAAGCCTGAGAGAAAGCCCAGGAAACGACCAAAAGCGCAAGAAGGAAAGTGGGGGGCAGGGAAGTGTATGTACATGTGTGTGTCCGTGTGTGTGTGTATGACTACCTAGCACTCTAGAGTTACTGAATACTTAGCCGAATGAATTAGGTGCACTAGTTAGGGAGCGGGACTTTTGTCTTACACCGCCCGGGTAGAGTACACTAGAAAGGGACAACAGAGGGAAAGGCACCGACACACAAGTGTGCCGAGTACCATTTCCCTCTGTTACCCTAATTAGAGGGGGGGAGGGGTTGGGGTGTTTGGGGTAGAGAGCACGTTTGGGTTTATTCTCTGTTGGCCCGGCGGCTTGGAAGAGTTGTCATGAAAGTCGACCAAATCAAATCAGGTGGAAATTCCGTGAAGCCCGGCAATACAGGGGTGAGACAAAATTCGGTTAAGAGAATCCAACGTGTGCAGTAAACCGCTAAGTTCGTTACACTGTAATCTGGAATGAATTCAGCGCCCCAGTGACGGGGATCACACCCAGCACCCAAGTGGGACGACTGAGCGAGTCACACTTTGACATTGGTTTTCAGTTAACTCAGTTCCCAGGAGAAAAGGAGTGGCGTAACGGCAAGGTGAAGAGTCCGATCAATTGAACATTGAAGTTTCTCTCATCTGCAGTGGTGCAACAGCAGCGTGCGAGCGAAGAAAAGCGGCAAAGGAAAAGTTTAAGGGAGGTATCATGTGAACCACCATGAATCAACACGTGGAAAAGTACGATGACAGCTTGTGAAAAACAGAGCAGGTACACGGAAGTGATCAGCTTCCGCCTCCTAGGATCTTGCAAGGAGCTTGGGTGGGTTCAGAGCTCCATTTGGTGAATGAGTCAGCCATGTGTTCAATCGGATGGATTTGATGAAAACGCATCGCCCCGCTGGCCCCTGTGCTGAAATTTCGAACGGGGAGCTCCTTCAGCTGCGAAGACAAAAAATTGGGATAGTTACGTGTTCTTTCACCGGCTGGGCTAGTGACCAAAAGCAAGCAACTTGTGATATATGATGATATATGCAACCAACACCGGGGCTTTTGGCGCGATATGGCACGACAACTTGGACACTTCTTTTCATTTTTTTGTGTTAAAAGAGATAGTTTCAATATAATATATGTTCTAAGGATGTTCTTGGCATCAGATGGCCGGATCTGGCCAACCTGAAGTGCACTGTCGTGGGTCTCGTGTCGGCCGAGGACTCCAATGATGGCAGACCCTTCACACTCACCGTGCTGGAAGAAGGGGAGTTGGGAGCCCCAGAGAATAACCTGTACCGGGGTCCGGACTTTTCGCTGGCCAAATGGCACGTGACTCGAAGCCAAACAGAACCAACAGCTCACCAGTCAGTTCCAAAGAATCTTCATGGAGGAAGTCGAGGCCCATGTCACATCCACGGCCCCTGGATGGGACCTTATAACTAATCACCACCCCCCAGTACTGTGTGAACTCCTGGAGGTGTACCGGTTCTACCGACGTCGTACGCCCGTCGCGACGGTAGAAGATCTGAGATCGGTGTCGAAGTGCAGTGTGTGTGCCCGCTTGTAACTGGATGGTGGCCCCGCAGAGGTGCGTAAGACAGGCAGCAGCTATAGGGTGCAAATTGATGGATTCATTCATAAAACATCCTTCCTTCCTACTGACCTAGCCTATCGATCTATCTACCTATACCTAGATTCATTTCATTCATTTGATTTTGCGTGTTTGCTGATTCCTTGCATTCCCTGCTCCTTTCGGCCATTGAAGCTCCCTAGAAATCCGTGTGTCGTTGACCGTCCAGACCGCCCAGGCCCATTCAGCGGGTGCCGGTGGCGCCGGGCTCGAACCTTCGAAAGGCACTGCTGAACAACGGCTTTCAGGCGACGCAGCAGCGACCACCGCGGTCCGCGGCGTCGCGGCGTCGCGGGTTGCGTCGCGGGTGGCGCCCCCGTGCGGGTGTCTTTTCCTCGGGTGGTGTGTGGGACCCCAGATTCGGGTGATGGACCCGGATCGAAGAGCTACGAAGCAAGCAGGCAGGTAGATTCTTTCAATCAATTTATGTTATTCTGTTCGGGGGGGTTGTAGTCATCAATTGCGGAGCTGAAAGCTGTTGAAGCCTCATAGATCCCAGTTGTAAGCCGACATTTGAGCTGTGAAATCTTAGCATGATCACCCACAAGACATCAAGAAACAATTAATTTGAGAGTTTGCAGAAACCAATGGTTTGTGCCTCCCAATTCTTCCAGTGCTGCCTCGTAAAGCTTGCCTTTGCCTTTGCCAGCGCCGTGATCTTCTTGTCGCGACGGTGCAGGTCTATCAAGACCTCCGGTCGGTCTTCAATTGCAGCTCACGTGGTCATTGGATTAGCGGAACGGGATGGAACGGGACGACTGGGGATGCTAGGACGATCTAGGCCGGGTCTTCAGTCTTCAAGCCCGGAGAGGATATTGGAGGCTTTTCCGAGAGAAAGCACTTTCAAGTTGTTTGTCCAAGGAAAAGCACATCCCGTCCACTGCAAGATCAGCTTGTTATTCTTGTTTTTTTCTCCAAGGCTTCAACCATTTTAAGTAAACGTTGTATGTAAGGAGATCTTATGATCGTATGACCAACCAGGCTTCAACGAGTTTAATAGAACTTTGTATCTGAGGGGATCGCAACAATATTAACATAGGGTTTTCGAGCGTGTGCGAACGAGCATGTGCTTGAGCATGTGTTTGTCACCGTTCACCGTTATAAGGTCTGGGCACTGGTTTCATCTTAAATCACTCGATCTCAGCGCTTTTGAGATCTGTTGAGGTGTTTGGAGAGCCCTTGGAGGCTAGTAACTATAGCTAGAATCTGGCCTCAAACTCCAGGAGCTCTCAACCTGAAGCCGACACTAGTTTGGTTCCATGGGGTCTGGTAGAAAAATTGGTAATCTTCGGTCGTTAGCTTTGATTGGGATCTGGTGGGATGCACACAAAGTGTTTCTTGATCCTTGAAACAAACAGGGGATAGCTTAAAATCGAGAGCCATCGTCTTACAAGGCCCCCCTTCTTTGCTAGTAGCCAAAGTTGAAATAGTGCCGCGGGCGGTTTAAGCTTGCAAGGCACTAAAAAAAGGCCAGCTGCCAAATGGGTAAGGCGTCCTTTTGCAGACTTTGATTGGTGGTTTGACTCCACCCTGGCGCGCTGATTGTTCTTATTGTTTATCCGCTTTGCGTTTGTACCTGCTAAAAGAATCCGAACACGTATGTCTTTGTGTCATGTCTTTACTGTCTTTGCAGCGCTTTGCTTCACGGGCGGCAAAGCCAATTGACTATGACCATGAGGCCCCTAAGTCCCCTTTCAACTAATATATGAATACATTATGAATACATGCTTGAACATACATTATGAATACATGCTTGAACAAAACACACAATCGATATACACTTAGAATATGATGTTATACATGCATAATCATATTTCATTAACTATATACATGCTTGAGCCAACCCCTCCCCCTCAAAAAAAGAAGGCACGCTGGCACACAGGCCTCCCCAAACTTTGCCCGAGCAGTCGCCAGACAGACCTTTCAATCGAGGTAACGCCAACCAGCTCTGTGGTACCTGCGTGTTAGATGTGATGGAGGCAGCTTCCGGGCTCGTCGGTTCTGCGGAGGGATGCGGCGTTTCCGGACAGTTGGGGAGGGAAGATGGGGGTCTGACACCATGATGGGAATACCGGAGTACCTTGAGGAGTTCATTCCCTGAATTCTTTGCTAAGCACCACTCAGAAATGCGACTGTTGCCGTGCTTGGGGTAGGCTGGGTTGATATGTTGCTGTGAGTTGGTCACTTGCTGTGATGTTAGTGCCTGGTTGTGTTGTTAGGTTGGTTGAGAACCCACCTTTGCTGGCAGTGGGGACGGAGCAGATGCCCTGAAGTGTTCTTTATTTTAGCCTTTACCCCTTGGCGTTCGTGTTGCCCATTTTGCTGCCAGGACCTGTACCTCTCCCCTCTCTCTCTGTTTGTCTGTCTCTCTCTCTTTCTCTCTCTTCTTTTTGTCTCTCTTTGTTCGTCCTTGCTTCTAGTTCAATACTCTAAAGAAGTTCTATTTGATCACCAAGTCTTTGTGTCAAGATCCAAAAATCCAGTCGGCATGCCATGTCGGTATCATGATGTAGCAGCGCAGCACGGGATGACACAGAGGAGAGTCTCACTTCTTATCCACCTAGAGCATCTTAGAGCCTTAGTGACCTATTTTGAACCACCAACACCTCAAAACCCTAGGGATCCAAGTACCTTCTCAGGTTAGGTGATTGGAGACACTCTTATGTAGGTTTTGAGGGTCCAAGTACCTTCTGAGGTTCGGTAGGACTGGATCCCTAGGGAAAGATCCTCCTTTCCTAGCAGAACAGGGGTCATGATGGTCATAAATGGGCTATGCCGGCAGGCTGCCACTCATGCCTATAGTCATGCCCGCATTTCGCTTTTCTCGGATCCCGGTCCCAGAGCCAGAGCCCGATCGAGAGCCCGAGCCACCAACGCAGAGCCAGAGCCAATCTTCGGGATCGATTCCATCCTTTCTGCAGTACCATGGAGTTGGGTGCTATCCAAGGAGAATGATATTACTCTCCCTCCAACAAACATGGTTACGTGGAACATGGCCTCTTGGAAGACTGTTTTCCTCTACAAACCGGTGCTTTTCCACTTCCATGATTGTTTCAGGGAGGGTAGGGGTGCTGTCACATCACCCGCCTGTCACCACACCCCACCCAGCTCGCCTTTTATCCCAGCTCCGACGCTAAGAGCCGCCAGAACTCCGTTCCACCGAAGCACCGAAGCAGCGTCGTGTTGCGTCTTGGAACAAACTATACCCAGACACTCCATGTATGCCATATATGCCTACATTGACCCCCAAAACCACCCCATTGTAGGCATATATGGCATACATGGAGTGTCTGGGTATAGGCCTATAGGCATCCGTTTTCGTACCTCCGGACCCGTACATGACTGGATCCAGGGGCACCCGGCACGTCGTCCCGCTTCGCGCTTCGCGCGACTCGCGCTTCGGTACCGACGAAACCGGAGGCCCCGAACGGGAACGAAGCAACGCCCACCGTGCGAGTCGCAGCGACCGACGCGTGTTTGCCGCGCATGATCCGTTGTTCACTGCCCAGGGCGGGGACAGCCTCACCGTGAGGGAACTCAGATGACACGACCCAGAACGGATGGATTTACATGGACCCAACGTCAAGTACCTTGGAGAATGGGACATGAACCGGAGCAAAAACAGGTATGACTGTACCCATTCTCGTCCATTTTCCAAGGTACTTTGAGATGAAAAGGTACCTACATTGGGGTGGTTGAGAAGGGATCAATGTACCTAGAAAGCCACTACAATTTTGTTTCTGGTCAAACGGCCTTGACCAGTTTTCTTCAGTCATTACAACTTTGATCGTCTTTGTCTGGAGCCACTTGTGCGAGAGTTGCTACTTGTTTCTTTGGTTTTTAACACCATGTTCTACGTGTTCTGTTTAACAACATGTTGAGCACACATGAGCAAATACGGTTTTGCTAGGGTTCAGGCCTACCATACTCGGTCAATCTTTGACCATCTTTTTGGGTCATGACCAGTATTTGGACCGCACAAACCAACGGAACGGCCCTTTCCCATGGTCCCATCAGACAGGGGCGTGTTTGGTCGAGAGGCGGTTGGTGAAAAACCAGGTCAATAGCGGTGGCTTCAACAAAGGTCACGGTCCAAACCCATGTCAATAGCGTTCTTTGAGGCCAAGATCCAAGGCTTATCCAATAAGCTCCTAATCCTTAATAAGGCCTAAATCTGCATCACTTGCATCACCATCCTGGGGGGGTGTATCCCCACACACTCAAAATCAAAACTCGCTTGTAGGGGCTTGGGGGGGCTGCTGATCAGAAAGTCATGTTGCCCCTCACGTCAATGACGCCATGGGAGCTCAACTCCTTCTCTTTCCTATCCAGCACTCATCATGTAAGCCGGCAATGGTATCCACACCTTAAAGGATAAGCTCAACAGCCCCCCCCCTGCAGCCCCCCCCTCTGCACCCGTGATAAGACAGTGGCATGCTTGGGTTGAAATGAGGTATGAATCGTTTCGGGTCCAAGTATCTAGTCTAAGAAATAACTTAAAACAATTAAAGTAACTTAAAAGATTCTAGCTGTGGGCCATCCAAATCTATCCAAAGTGGTGATAAGTACAGCCCGTATAAACAAAAAAAACAACTAAACTATCCTTCAAGATCAATACATCCCACCTACTTTATAATAGGCATGGTCGACCCTAAGCTTCCAAAAACGATTGATCTACAAAAGGACTTTATGGCACAGCCAAATGTTTACTCAGGATTGTTAAAAACGAACGCCCTCAGAAACCAGATCACCCCTTGTTCTTTCAGGGTCTGGCGGAAGACTGCAACCTTATACCAAGAGTTGCAAAGGGATGCTATCATATGCTATCCATGGACGTGAAGGGTGCCCGTTATCCACACACTTTGGGACTCAACACCACTCCTTTGTAACACCTTTTTGGTCGAACCTCCAGGCCCTGCCTCCGGGGCCGCCGCGCCCATCTCCCAGGTCCGCTCCGTGAACGAGGCGGCGGTCATGGCCGCCAATCCGCCCAGCTTTCGGCGGGGCAGCCGGGAGCGTGGGAGCGGCGCGGTGGGGAACGGTGTCCCATGATCCGAACGGAAGGAATCGGTGGGCGTCAATAGACCCGTTGGGCCACCGAGGTCGCCATGTTTTTGGTTTTCACCGTTTTGAGGGATCCGACGGAGCCAGCGAAGCTGAAGTACGGTGAGACGATCTGATGTGACGCCGGCTTGGGTCAGCTCCAGTCGTACCGAACCTGACGTACGGTGGCAGTGGATGCCTATAGGGTTTGAGATGGTTTGAGATCCCAATAGGAGTGTTAAGCAGAAGACAATGGGTGAAGAAGACACGGCAGTGAAGGTGCGGCCACTTGGCGTCGCAAGCGACGACACTTTGGGGGTGCCCAAATCATGGGTGGAAGGGGCGACGATAGTGAGGGCACCGTATCCAGGAGAAGAGGACGAAGATAGTGACGAACATAAAGCGAAAAAGGAACCCAGACATGACCCCCTTTTTTGGATTAAACCACCTTATGGGGCGTTTGAAGGGTACCTCTTCTACAGAGTGGAAACATGTGGAAAGAAAAGCACATATAAACAAAATGCACCTCATTCGGACCCCCTTCACCACCGGGTGGAGTGGAAACACCGGTGGAAATCCCACCCACCATGTTTTGAGAATCTGTGTGAATAGTAGCGTCCTTGCTAGTAGTAGCATATACTAGCATGGGCATTGCTACTAGTAACAAGGGTATTACGTATTACTGCTGGTAGCAAATAGCTACTAGTAGCTTCATGTTAGTAGTAGTAAAGGGTGGAGACACGTCTGACGAAAAGACCTTCTCCGGATGTCAGGCTTTGCTGCAACATCGATGTCTACGGCGATGTCACCGTAAGGCGGCTTTTCTGCCGAACAAAACAGGACCGTCGACTGCCGAAGACTGCAACAGGATGGAGCTATGAATCAAACAAATACGGTGAATTCATATTGCAACTCTATGCAATTCTCCCAATAGTAACAACAGAATTCAATTGGTTCAAGTGGACATGAAGAGAGAGTTATAATATATATATATATATATATTTAAAAGCAAATCATATATACTTAATTTCTGCTGCAAGATTACATGTTTGGCTGGATTGCGGGTACTTTGGCAAACCCACCCAAGTGTGTTGCATGGAAACCCAGTTTTTTTTGCAGCAAGATATGATTTGCTTTTATTATGTATGTGGGTGTGCCCTCTCCGTAAATAGCAGCAGCACTTGTGTTAATATTATTTGGGTCGTGACATGCGTGGTTAGGTAGGGTGGCCGAGAATCCACATATGATGAACATTATGAATTAATTGGCTATCTTTGCATTTTTGTTCCTCCAACCCAGCGGCAGCTTACCTTATCTTACCTTGTTTAATTTTGTTCATTGAAGACCGTCAGAGCAAGGAGATGTTCAGGTGATTTCAGGTGCCTAAAAGTTCTATGGAAATGACCCATGCAAGCAGTAAGAGGTATGGTTTTTGTGACCTCCAAAAAACGGCCAGCTACCAGGTGAACAGGTACTTGGAAAGAAGCACAAGCACTGGCTCATAGCCAATAGCAAAAACTCGAAGCATGCTGAGAATCGGTGAATCTAAGTCTACAGGTTGATTTGATTGATCGTTGGATTGGACAATCATCTACTGGCTGCTCTACCATCATGTACCATCTACCCAGACACGCAGAACAGTAGACTTCTTCGGTCCGGTCTGGTCTGCAGACGCAGACGACCACCCCTTGCCACCCCTTGCCTGCGACATGACCCTAAAAAATGAAGACTGCCATGATTCATAAAAAAAGAAACAACTATTAATGATCATAGACCGCATGATGTTGCACATATGTCACATATGTCATGTGTATGTATATATATATATATTTTATTTTTTAGGAAGACTGCCATGAGTATCATAGACCCCATCTTTTGGTCGAGATACACTTCACTCATAACGGTCGAGCTACTTCCGGTCTCTGTTTGGACCCCGTCCACCTGCCCACCGTGCCACGCCGCCAGACTGCGGCCGCGCGGAGTGAAATATGGCGGTGGAACCAGCTGAGCCGAGGATCCCTAGGATCGCCCCGGTCACAGCCATGCGGCCTGAAGACCCCACTGAAGGCGCTCAGCAAGCGAGCGGATGAACACATGGACCTCAGTGAACATGGGCCTGGTTTGGGACTGGAATAGATGTGAATAGATATGAATAGATATGAATCGCGCTGCTTTCCACCACCCCCAGTCCTGGTACTCGGTCCGGAGAATGAGTGAGTCGATGTGGTTTCTCAACAGATAGCTGTTCTGGAACAGAACGGAACTTGACGACGGTGGTTGACCTGTTCCCAGACACGAGCAGTTCGGGACTGGCATGTTGATCTACATTGGGGTGGTTTAACAGGGTCAAAGGAGGGGGGAAAAGAATATATATATATATATATTATATATATATATATAATGTTTATTTATAGATAGATGCAATATATGGAGTGTTTATGGTTTTTGTCTTGTCAAGTCATCCGTCAATCAGATCATCGACGGCTCCAAGGCTGTCGATGAGGTGAGACTCCACGAAGCGGCACATGGCTAGGGCTGGAAGATGCCACCAGTCTCTCACTAGAGCTACACCCATGGCACAGGCAACATCGGTGGGTGGGTGGTACCCGTCTGTCTTTGTGAACCTGTCTTTGTGATGTATTTTTTTGGAGTGTTCGCTGGGCTAGACCGAAGATCTTCTTTGGAACGATGGTGCATCCGGTGATCCTTGAGCCACAGGAGCAATCTGTTCTCGGTTTCGATCGCCCAGGAGCGATCCGTTCGCCATCTGCAGGCACCCGAGGATGGCGTCAGTTCAAACACTGCAGAGACCTCCGTTGACTCAAGTTCAAGGTGACGGACCGCTCAGGTCCTGGTACAACTGCATCTGATTAGTCCCTACCCAGTCAGATAAGCTTTAACTGTTTATAACTGGCCTACCCAG